TGTGACTGGAGTAATGATGCTAAAGCGCTGCTTTGAAATCGCAGGAATAAATTATATTTTCAAATAGAAAACAGCTATTTTAAATAGTAAAAATATTTCAAAATGTTACTGTTTTTGCTGTATTTTGGATCAAATAAATGCAGGCTTGGTGAGCAGAAGAGAATTCTTTAAAAAATATAAAAAATCTTTTGACTGGTATGTTAGCCTATAGTTTGAAGTAAAAAATATTAATATTAATAAGGAGAGTCTGAGATTTATTTGACAGTGATTTCACATTTCTTGTTTGTATGAAGGCTAAATAACAATAAAAGGTGAACATTTAATATATATTTAAAAAATATTATATCGTTTTATAGGAGTAGGTTTCATAGAGTTGGAATTATATCGTATCGACCGAAATTAAGAAATATATTGTGATATAAATTTTGGCCATATCGTCCAGCCCTAAGGCAAACATTATAATACTTTCTCGTTTGCCGTCAGCATTCCGCAAATATGTACTTATATAATTTAAACAAATCTTTGAATGACTAACGAACATTTAATTTCACAAACCTTGCAGACTTAGTCGAATCTTGTGAAGTGTGCATGTGACCTGCATGATCGCGTGTTCTGTGACGGTCGGTCCTATGGTCCGTGTGAATTGAATATAGGGCTGCAACAACAAATCGATTAAATCGATAAAAATTGATTACTAAAAGAGTTGGCAACGAATTTCATATAGGCCCTGTCCCAAATGGCGCACTTCATGTGGACTTTCGGTCTCGTGGACTTAAATTGCGCGTGCTCGCCGAGTCTACGAGTCCGTAGCCCGTCCCATTCAGCATTTTAACGCTCTGAAGTGTGCTCAGCAGCACCCCCTTTGTACCCTTGAAGCGGTCTTCCGCGAAGCCCGCATAGATGCAGGCTCCGCACACTTTAACTACCCAGGAATCTTTGCGAAATGCCAATCAGACAACGGATGGGAGGAGATTTCGATCAAGAGCAATTGATGACATGGCTGAGAAGAAAATATTTAATTGTAGGTATCATTACGGTTTTTATGACCTAGGTGTACATTTTACCAGTTGTTACCTACAGTTTATACAAACATTATGGTCATCGACCAGTGGTTGATATCTCAAACATAATAATAGCGCGTTGAATAATACGATCGCATTATGATTCATTAAATAAATAGAACCGAATGTCAGGGCTTTACTGAGTCATATGTAAACCTAGTATATTTAAACCTGTAAATTCATCTGAAGCGAAGCTGAGGATGTCCACAGCCAAGTGAGGAACGAAGTCCTCACATACTTTGGAGAAAAGTTAACCCATTATTGTGGTGGAAGGCTAACAATGAAAGATAGCCCATGTTGGCCAGGCTAGCCAAGTCTTGCCTTTCGATTAACCGAAAAAATAATCGACAGATTAATCGATTATTAAAATAATCGTTAGTTGCAGCCCTAATTGAATACGGACAGAAGGAGAGTTCAGCTTCACTGGAGACGCACGATCGACAAACTTTAAACTTGTGACTGATTTAAAATTATGCTGCGATGTATGCATTTGCCCACTGTCATATTCATGTCATTTTCACTGTGCGCTGTATGTAAAATGAGTGTTACCCTGGCTTTATTTGAAAAAATATGATTCCCAATGCACACAAACTTCCCAGAATACTGAGTGCCCTGTTGATTACAGTGTTTACTTCCTTTTTAATTATATTTTTATTAAATATTTATTTGTGAAAAACACTTTGTCTTCTAGAGTATAAGTATGTTTATTTTACACGTTTTTTTAAAAATCCATTTTCAAATGATTTCAAATTTCTTAAATATGAATTGAAATAAATCATTTATATCAGCCACCCCGCTTTCCAAGATATCGGCAGTAAAAAAAAACATGTCGGTCGACCACTAATTAAAATCAGAATAGATATAGCCTAAAACAAGTGATACCAGTATTGCTACATTATTAAAATCAGTACAATAATATTACTAGTGATACTAATATTTCTATAGTATTAGAATCATAGTAGCAATATGAAACTAGAGAAACCAGTATTTCTACAGTATTGAAATCAGAATCAATATAAAATTAGTGATACCAGTATTGCTACAGTATTACAATTAGGCTTGCCGCAATAGACGGTGTTGACGGTGATACCGGTGTTAAGCCGCATCACTGGAGGCGAGAGACAGACAAGAAGAGTGAGGCGAGACAGACAAGAAGAGTGAGGCAAGACAGACAAGAAGAGTGAGGCAAGACAGACAAGAAGAGTGAGGCGAGACAGTGAGGCGAGAAAGACAAGAAGAGTGAGGCGAGACAGACAAGAAGAGTGAGGCGAGAGACAGACAAGAAGAGTGAGGCGAGAGACAGACAAGAAGAGTGAGGCGAGAGACAGACAAGAAGAGTGAGGCGAGAGAGAGACAAGAAGAGTGAGGCGAGAGAGAAGACGATCGTGGATGATTTAGTTTCGAAACGAGATGCAAAAGTGCCTGTTTAGCAATATTTTGGATTTTGAAAAGCCTGTTGACTTTTGCTGTTTTTCTAAGGTGATTTTGGAAGGTTTTTTTTAAACATTCTTACTTAATTGGTTTCACATCGCGAGAGACAGACAAGAAGAGTGAGGCGAGAGACAGACAAGAAGAGTGAGGCGAGAGACAGACAAGAAGAGTGAGGCGAGACAGACAAGAAGAGTGAGGCGAGAGTTTGAGTTTGACGTTGTATTTTGTTGTTGCATTTAAGCAATTGACACCGAACTAATTCGAAAGTGAAAGTAAAATGCGCACGGCGCTTTCAAGCTATCTAAAAGAGAAGGAAAGCGATGAAAGAGGGAAAATTCAAACAAACTAAAAACCAACAATTGCTTTACTCCGAATTGCCGCTATTTGAAAGTGCAAGTAAAATGCGCACGCCACTTTTACAAGTTATTTAAAAGCAAAGGAAAGCAAGGAAAAGAGGGAACGCCCCCGCGGTGATACCGGTATTACCGGTGTTGTCACGCGTCGATTAACCGGTGGGAAAATTTCTTCACCGTCACAACCCTAATTACAATCATAGTAGCAATATAAAATTAGTGACATTAGTATTTCTACAGTATTAGAATCAGAATAGAAACTAATGATACCACCTGTATTGCTACAGTATTACAATCAGTACAATAATTATACTAATGATATTAGTATTTCTACAGCATTACAATCGGTATAATCACTTAACTAGTTGTACTAGTATTTCTACAGTAGTAATAATAGTATTACTATAGCATTAGAATCAGTACAATAACAATAGTGACACCAGTATTTCTACAGTACTAGAATTAGTGTAATCATCTAAAACTGGTTGTACTAGTATTTCTACAATATTAGAATCAGCATAATCATTTAAAACTATTAGTGTACAATACAGTATATTGCTACTGCACTAGTAGTAGTAACTTGATAGCACTAGCCGTTTTATAATACTAGCAACAGTGGTACTAGTACTACAGTATTAGAATATTTATGGTGATTTCAACCTAGTGATACTAGCATCTAGAATCAGTACTGTAATGTTAGTAGAATACCTGTATCAGTATATTGATACAGCTCTAGTAGTAATTGCAGTGCTAGTATTAGCATGGTGGTTCAGCACTAGTATTGGAGTAGTAGTGATGTTGCTTGTATAATACTACTGTTAGCTAATTCTTGACAAGCAGCAGGAGGCACAAGCACACATGTGCTGGCAGAACGCAACGTTACCTTCTTCATAATGCCAGTCTTTCTCTTGCTGAAGGTCGTGTATCTCCTCAGCTTGTTGTCAATAAACTCCATCTTAATTTTCACCCGTCCTCGCGTTTTCTTGCCCGGTTTAGCACCGGCCACCCCGGCGGAAACCCCTCCGTATCCCGCCGACAGTCCCGCGTGAGATCCCGAGGATACACCGACCTCCATCTCACTCCTCTCCCGCTTCACCCCTCTCCTGTCCACCGCGGGACTCTCCTCATCGTCCCCGGAGTCCGAGTCTCCGTCGGAGCCGCTCAGCACAGCCTCCACCGACGGCCCGTCGTCGTATCTGCCCCCATCGGGCAGGTTTATGGCAGAGTTTACCGCCCCCAAAGCCCCAGACGTGCTGCCCACCTGTAGAGGGGTCAACCCCGCGCCGTTACCGGAGCGCCCGGCCCCTCTGGCCGTCCCGTGTCCCCCTAACATCGCCCGCGGTAGGTGCAGAGATCCGAGCAGCTCCCAGATCAAACCCCGCAGATCGCTTCCCTCGACACCGAGCTTACCTCACATATGCTAGGCTAGGAAACATTAGCTCAACTCAGCAGACTAAACGCGCGGGATCTGGAGCTCGAGGACGGATATACGTGTCTGTGTGAAAGTCACGATTTAGGCTGCTCGTGATTACCAAAAACAAACCCCCAAAACTAGCCCTTTACGACCATCGTACAAAGTTTACCGCGTAGAGTTTCCGCCTACAGTCCGTCAATCAAGCCTCAACAGAACTTGCGCCGCGCTTTGGAAACAACGAACCGCGACCGTACCTCGATGTGCCTCCGCCAACAGAACTAGTACCTGCAGTAACAACAATATCGCGTAAAATAATTCACTTTCAACACATAAATGACTACATTTTGCTCGTATATAACGTTTGATGTTTTTTTGAAACGATATAATAGCTGATAGCGCGCTTATTTAGGGAATTTAACTCACGAGGCCGTTCGCCTAAGGATCTACTTTCCTCCAAATAAAGCGAGGCGATGTTTCCTTATATGGCGATGGCTGTCCATGTATGGCGAGTCACAGCGCTGCGCTGCGATTGGTTACGCAAACCTCTTCGACTCTGCGATTGGTTACGCAAACCTCTCCGACTCTGTGATTGGTTACGCAAACCTCTCCGACTCTGTGATTGGCTCGAATCTAGTTTGGCCGACAGATATGTTTTACGTAATGCACATTGCACAGCGATCCAGTAGCAAATAATCCTGGACCCTCACAGTAATATTAACGACATAAATACACCATTTCTGGCTAGGCATGTTTGAAAAGGTAAACCACATTCACTTAACGAACTCCTAAAACCAAACGCGTGTTGTTGGACTGACTGCTAAGTTGAGTACAAACTGAGGTGAGTTCCAGCTCTGTGAGAGCTGTGGACATTATGCGATGCTCTGGGTAACCAGCAGATGAGGCTCTTACATTAAGTAAACTAAGTTCAGCTAAACTCAATCTTTTGGCGTCTCAACGCATCTCATCTGCTTGCAAATACTAAAATACATTCACACTGTACAATCAGCTTTTTGCTTTGACATTGCATCAGTGCTATTGATTTTATGATAGACAGCCGATTGCAACAAACACTTTACATAAATGTCTTTTGCAATCAATATTTTGAAGGTTTTGCATTGGGCCCAGAGAATACAAACATTTTACGCTAATAGTAGTAAAGCAGTATGTATTTGGCTGCTCAAATATCAAGGCAGTTTCTCATTCTCATGATTTACTTACTTACTTAATCCTCTTCGTCCCATGAGAAGGCCACAAATTAATCTCATGATTAATCACATAAAACCATCAGAAAGATGTCAATCTAATACTATATGCACATTATGCACTATGCAACAATAAATCTGTCAAAAAGAAAAGGTCTTTACATTCTAAATTTTGTTGTTTTTTCCAGATTTTTTCTTCTAATTCTCCAGATTTTTTGCACCCACATTTAGTTTATACTCAATTTTTTCATCGAAATCTAAGCAAACACATGCAGTTCATGTATGACTTGCACGCTTTCTGTAAACGACTAGGCTGTCAGTGTGCAAATATTCTCACAGGAACTGCTAAACTATTGTCATGACAACATCACATAGTTACATATTCCCATCTGCAACCGCGGGAGGTAATAACTGCAGATGAATCTTGGTGGTCCCCATAAACTGTTCCAGGAATATACCAAACTGCCCCATGCATGTTATGCAATACTAGCAAAAGATTCGATTTTTGCACATGAGCATTTTTCGAACATGCTTCCTTTCTGGTGCTACAAAATGACACAACTGTTACTGCATTTATTTTTATTTCCAAAAAACTTTACAGCAGAATAAATGGCACAAAGGCTGTAAATGAGTAAAAAAGTGCAACTTGAGAGCAGACTGAAAATACAGAAAGTTTCTGAACGAAAGGTGCAAATCCAATTAATTTTAGTTTGTTAAACGAATACAAAGACCTGTTGTCCTCACTGAGCAGAAACAACCGGTCCACATCAATTTAGATATGAGCACAAATCTCAGTAAGAGTTAAGATCTCAATCTCAATAAGAGAAAAAACAGGGAGCATTCACAAATTCACTGTGATCAATCAAAGTGTTTGATCACAAGAAAACAGATAATGACAACATACAGACTGATTTGCAAGCATTGCATTAAAATACTAAGTCAGATCTCGAAGCAGCCGACGTAGAGATTGCTTGCCAAAATAATTTCATACAACGTGGTGGTGCGCGGACCATTCCGGCCTCACCCACGAACACATCTCTGGGGGCGCCGGGTGTGACGCAACGGTTTAAGTAACAGTGTTTGTCACAGACCATCGACACGAAACACTGCAGAAGATCAAACGCCGCTCTGGCAACCGTACAGACATATTAGGCAAGAGTTCCATTGCTTATGCGCCCCAAAGCCCTTGCCAGCAATTTCCTGAAAACATCACTTCTGTTTCCAAAACATTATTGCCTTATTCTCATAGGATAGGAGGTCATTTCTGCAGAATTTGCAAGGCGGAGGAAGCATTCAGAGATTTCCATTAGCTAAGGATGCCATTAGATTACGACACAAACTGTTCCACCTAACTCTATGCAGTTCTGTTTGCTTTATCCACATGTTCCACCTATAAAACACTTTTCCCCTGCTAAGAAGTAAAATCTAGTAAAGAATCTATAAGCACTTTTTGATAATTACATTCTGTTTCTACACAATCCATCTATGAGAAATGTAAAGCTTTGATTTACTGACAGAGAAAAATGTTAGTTTGTTCAAAAATGTAAACTCTGTCATCATTTACTCATCTTCATGTCGTTCCAAACTCATATGGTTACTTTCTTCTGAGGAACTAAAAAGGAGAAGTTTAGCAGAATGTTCATGCTGCACCTTTCCATACAGTGAGAGGGAATGAGGACGAAAATATAAAAAAAAAAGATAAAAGTAATTTTTTGAAGCCACACCATGTTCATACAGAATGTGTTTTTGAATTCCAGTGCGCTGATTTTCCATTGGTTTTCTATGTAAACATGTGCGAAACAGACATCTTTGACCATTGCGCTTGTGTATTTTGCAACATCTTGTGCACTGTGAAAAAAAAAGTGCACAAGTGAAAAGACATTCAACTTTTTAAAAACACATCTCAAGACCTTGCATTTTTTCTATTCCACTTCCTGTAAAACTGCGTTCTTCGTAATTGGTCCCTAACAGACCAAAATTTATGGTTGGTGGACATTGAATTAGTCGTAACCAATTGTGACACCAATTTGAAGACATGTGAAAGATTCGAGCGTTGTGATAGAAGGGAGTATTTTCCGTGAATAACGTTTTGGTCTGTTGGGAAGATTCACAATATAGCTGTAGAGTCGTATGGACTATTTTTATGGTGTCTTGTAATTTTTGGCGCTCCAGAGTTTTTTCCTCCATTTATGTTTATTGTATGGAAACGAGCAACATGACATTTTGTTAAACTTCACCACCTGTGTTTTACAGAAAGAAAGTCATATGAGTTTACAACAACATAATATAGGTAAATAATGATAGACCCACTTTTTGGATGAACTATCCATTTAAAAGGCTGACATGCAGCAGAATCTTGCAAACCTCCTGCTACCAAAACAAAGAATAACCTGTAAGTGCTATTCAGAATGAAACTTGAGCGACTGTTTCCTTCTGGTATCCAGCTGTGTTGTTTTTCAGATATTTCTTGGTCTTCATGTCACCCTCTCTGACCTTGTCTTTCATTTTCCAAAGTACAAGTTACTTGAAAACTTCAGTAAACCAGACAACCTACATTTTATGATTAATAAAAATTCCTGTTTGAAACCCAGTGAATATGCAACTATTTAGACCAGTGGTTCTCAGCCAGTTTTGTTTCAAGACCTACATTTTACAATGGACATTAAATGGCAACCCAACACAGTATCAAAATGTACTATACAAAAGATCCATCATAAAAACGTGAACTCGCAAAAAACTTTAAAATCAACCATTAATATCTATTGGTTGATTTAAAACTGGTTTCTGACACATTTTTGGGTCTCAACCAATCAGTTAAGAAACACTGATCTAGACCACAACCAGGTAGCCATGCTGTGTTGAACATTTTAAACATTGTAAGCTGCAGTACACACATAAAACCAAGATGCTGATTCGGTCGATCTAGATGATTTAGAAAGGGTATGGACCCACAATAATGGTGAGTCTCAGCAGTGAGCTGGAACGGTAGCTCAAGACATTACTCTGGGTGACCATTTCCAGGTCCACAACATGTTCTCTAGGTCCAGTCAAAGGTTTGGTCATCACCAGCATGGCGCTTACATTACTGGAGCGCTGAAAGACAAAGAAAAAGCTAATCACTGGAGAGGCTTCACCACGAGACAGTGTTATAAATCACAGTGATGCATTTTTGGATGTAACAGGGTTGATGTCTTTATGTGTATTTCATTATGTTTACAGATACATATTTCAACTCTGTTATGGGAAAAATATCACTGTGAGCAATGATTACTGTAAATAATCTGGTGAGTAGTGATGAATAAATCAACTTTTTTCCCCCACTGATCTTTAACATTAACAACCTCAAAATATTTTTTATGTAACAGGGTTGAAGCTAAACCGATTTTGGAAAAGGAATGTCATGGGTTCCGACACAAGTAAGTATCTCTTACATTCTCTATTAGCTTTTATTATTTACAGTTGTATTGTCATGCTCAATTGTTCAACTCTGTTATGGGAAAGTAATAGTGATCACTCTTTTACAGAAAAAATATTTTTCTTGGCAGAAAGCAGAAGAATGTTAACTGTAAATAATCTGGTGTTGTGCTGTGCCAGCTAAGGAGGTTACAAGACATTTTTGCACTGATCTTTAACCCTAGATATTTTAAATGTAACAGGGTTTGCACTAAACATGTTTTGCAAAATAAATATCATGGGTTCAAACACAGGTGAGTAACTCTTAAAGTCTCTATCAGTTTTTAATTATGTTTACAGTTATATTGCCAAGCTCAATTGTTCAAAGTCTTGTCAAAAAGCACAAGAATACTGATTGTAAATAATAATCTGATTTTGTGCACTAATTTACAATCCAGTAACATTCAACCTCATACATTTGAAATGTAACAGGCTTGAAGCTTAAACTGTTTTGGAAGAGAAATGTGACAGGTTCATACAAAGGTAAGTAGACTGTATCTTACAGTCTTTGTCAATTTTTCATTATGTTTACATTGTAGTTATATCATCACTCTCAATAGTTCAACTCCAAAAGTATAAGAATGGCAAAAGTATAAGAATGACTGTAATCTAGTGTTTTGCAATGATATTTACTACCTGAGGTGTTTATTAGACATTTTTGCATCTTCAATCCTGTAACATTCAACCCCAAAACACTTTAAATGTAGGGTGGACAACATAACATGTTTTTGGTAGAGGAATTCCATGGGTTTAAATAGAGTTTAAAAGCAAGTATCTCTCATTAAAAAAATTGTGTTTTCATTATATTTCATTATTTTGTCAAGATCAATAGTTGGTTTATTAAAGGAAAATAATAGTCCTTTACAAAATACTAATATTTTCTAGGCAAAAAGCACATGAACAGTCTAAATAAGCTAAAGCTGTTATTATACTTATTTTGCGTTGATTTTCAACCCTGTAATATTTAACCACAAAACACTTTATGACAGGGTTGGCACAGATTTTAGAAGAGAAATGTCTTTGGTTATTATCTATTAAATTATAATGTGCTATTGAATTATTAATGCTTGAAAGTAATATGTCTAAAATTTAAGCAGTCTACTGTGTTTATTAAGTTATACATCCAAACTGTTACAGTATTGAAATAACAGAGAACTGAAAGTGTTGGGTTTATGGTTAGCAACAACTGAGTACAGTAAGTTACTCTTAAAAAAAAGGCAATTCATTACTAGCTATCTTATTAATTACTTTCTAAATACTGTATCTAAAACCTTGACCAGTTAAACAATACAGGGATAGACATGAAACTGCAATTTTAATTCTTTCAAATAAATAATTTAAAATTGCATAAATTATTCTTGAACTGACCAAAGTATTTAAAGGGAGAATGTTACATTAAAACATACATTTTTACATTAGATGTTAAACTGATTTTTAATCCACAATTGTTTTTACAGAATTTTTATATAGTTTATATAGTGTTTAATGCTATTGCATTAGAAGTAACAGAATTACAGAAAAGCTAAGAGTAATCCCTTACTTTACTTTTCAAGGGAAAGTAATTAAATTACAGTAGTTAATAATTACCAAGTAATGCATTACACCCAACGTTGGTAAAAATAGCTAACTAACTGCAAGGCTGTAATCACAGATCTTACCCTCAGGTAGAATTCTCCTCCCTCGTTGCCGGATTTGATGGTGAAGGTGTTTACCATGTTGGGGTAGACACTGGTAGCTTGAATCTGGAAGATATCCGCAGGCACTGAGCGTTCGGAAAAGATGCTCATGTACTTGTAGACAATGACAGGCGGCAGTCCTCGGCAAACACTTGGTGACTGGCACCTACAGCGTCTATTGATAGAGAGGTAAACAGTTTGTGAAACCGATTTGTGGATCAAATAACAAAACTTTATTTTTTCCGCAACATGGTATGATTTTATCAGGAGATTAGACGCACCCTTCGCCTGTTTTGACGTATGGCTCACGGCAGGGGTTTCTGGGATAGCAACGGAACCCTCCATAGTAATTCCAACACATTTCATCTTCTCTGCAGTTGTGTGCTGTTTCACACTCGTTTATATCTATTAAAGGGATAGTTAACTCCAACATTTTTATTCTGTCATTAATTACTCACCCTCATGTCGTTCCAAACCCTCAAGACCTTCGTTCATCTTCGGAACACAAATTAAGATATTTTTGATGAAATCTGAGAGCTCTCTGACCCTCCCATAGACAACAAGGACCCTAACACGATCAAGGTTCAGAAACGTAGCAAGGACATCAGTAAAATAGTCCATGTGACATCAGTGGTTCAACTGTAATTTTACGAAGCTACGAGAATACTTTTTGTGTGCAAAGAAAACAAAAATAACGACTTTATTCAACAATTCGTCTCCTCCGCATCACCCTATAGTGCCATTTTGGAGAGTATCACATATGTAAACAACGTATGCTGTTCTGTGTCAGCAGCACCGTACGCGGATACGCGGTTTACGCTTTGATCTGAACGTAAACAACGTATCCGCGTACATACATTGTTTACGTATGTGATACTCTCCAAAATGGCACTATAGGGTGATGCGGAGGAGACGAATTGTTGAATAAAGTCGTTATTTTTGTTTTCTTTGCGCTCAAAAAGTATTCTCGTACCTTCGTAAAATTACAGTTGAACCCCTGATGTCAAATGGATTATTTTAATGATCTCCTTGCTACGTTTCTGGACCTTGATCAAGGTAGTTACCTAGCTGTCTACAACAGAGTCAGAGAGCTCTCAGATTTAATAAAAAATATCTTAACTTGTGTTCTGAAGATGAACGAAGGTCTTACGGGTTTGGAACAACATGAGGAGTAATTAATGACAGAATTTTAATTTTTGGGTGAACTATCCCTTTAACAGGTTGGAAAAGATTCAAGTTTCAAGAGTTTAATGTCATATGTACAGGAATCAGTCTGTTACACCATACAATGAAAAAGGTCAATGAGTATCTTCTGAAGCCACTTCAGGAGCCTGGCAGAAACTGGAATGTACCTTGGCACATCCGCGTCCCTTGGAGCTGGTATCCATCAGGACACACACACTGGTATCCGCCGGGCTGATTCACACACTGGAACTGGCAGATGTAGTTTGAGAACTCACACTCATTGATATCTGGAAAACACGAATGAGAATGAAACTCACAGAATGACATAGTATTGCTCATTACTGGGGTTACTGTCAATTCAATGTTTGTGGACCTAATCTTGATTACCACAGATAAAAATTGCATATTCTATTCTAATCTACACTGTACTAACATAGGACAACCAGAAATTGTCCACATGCTTTAAGACTTCATCTAAAACAGTATATCAATAACTACACATTTTCCATAATATTCTAATCCTAACAGCAAAGTCCAAGCCACAATGATGACAACAATGAGGAACAATCTTGTTAAGTCACTTTCAGAATAATTTATTTCCAGCTGATGAGCAATAAACATTGACAGCCAATCAGAATCCAACTGACTTTAAAGGGCATGAGCATTTAAAGTGGCAGATGACAAAATTGTTATCAGAAAGTTATCGCCCTTTGGTTTGGACTAGTTATCATTCTTGGTGTAAACTCTTGGTATTAAGGTTGTTGTTTTTTTATTGAAAAAGTGTTCCTGGTATCTTCCTTTTAAACAAATCCCACTTAATTTAATATTTTTAATCATCAAATGCAAAGACATTGAGAAGTTTTTAAGAGTGGCTTAAGTGTGCAAATACTTTTAGAGCTAAGTAGCTTGTAAAAGACCATTTAAATAGCCAAAGTCAGTTTAAATAGCCTATCAAAGTACCTCACTTAATGTCTTTTGAATGTCTTTTATATAACCAAATATACACATTATATAATTAAACCTACATCAAGTGTAATGTTTCTCTTGGTTTCAGTTTGCCTAAAGATAGCATGCTAACAGATTAGCCTCCTAAGATAACATAGCCTGCCATTGGAAAGCATGCAATATGCATGTTACTAAAAGTAATCAAAACAAACCTTCATAGAGTTTACTTTATATCATAATACCTATATATCTTGTTTTTATTTATGAATTATATAACAATGCTCATTTGTCCAAGGCCCATTAAGATATTTTTATAATCAGCATAATATCCACACACATGGCAAAAAAACAAACAAACATTGTACCATTATCGCCTTGAAATACTGTTTGATTATGATTAACGTTTTGTAGATGTTAGCTGTCAATACTTTATTTGTTTACATACACATCAAAATTATTGTTGATGAAATTTGATACTAGGTTTAAAATATCCAGGAATACTCCAATTATATTATGTGCTTTCAAAAACTTCAAAGGTTATACTTTTTAAAATACATTAACATAGTGTAAAAAAATAAAATAAAACAACCTTGGCAGGAGACTGAGTCTGAAGCCAGTTCATATCCGACTTCACATTGGCAGATGAAAGAACCAATAAGATTGTAGCACTGATGTTGGCAGGGGCTTGCAGTTAGACATTCATTCACATCTGCAAAAAAACACAACTGAACATTAATGATAGATGATGAAATAAAAAATGAGAGTGCAGGAGTAATAAACAAAATAACTGGACATTGCCAATTGCCTATTTTATTCAGTCCCTTAAATATAACACTAATAATGGCACTTATTTAAAACAACAGGTAGGATATCCAAAACACATCGTTTCTGCACTCCTAATCATTCTTTGGTATGTCTGGCGAGGTTTCCAGCTTCGTTCTGGAGCGCAGAAAGTGTCCTTTCACGCTGTGAGGGCCATGGTGGGTGGTCTGCGCTTATCTGCCAGGTTTGGTCAAGTAACTGTATACAAAGGCATAAGAATAAGCCAGTTTTCTGTGATTCATATACAGACTATTGGATGTGCAACACATGTGAGTGCAAAACCTCCTCATCCAAACAAGGCAGATTCTTCCTAGGCTCCTAAGTGACTTATTTGAGGTATTAATGGGAGAATAATGTCAATGCACAGATCCGAAGACCCCCGGGAGGCCTCTTGCCAAGTGTTTCCAAAGCTTTGCTGACCAGCGTTTGGGCCCTTTCAGGGAGTTCAGCGCTGCTGATAGCCAATCTGGTCGGAAAAAATGAGGCTAGGCCTCGCACGCAATAGTTCAGATGGTTTTTTT